ACAGAATATAAAAAGAGCCACCCTTCCCCCCCCAAAAAAAAAACCTCAACTCAAAACGTAAACCACAAAGGAAACAGAATTTAGCTCAATGTGTACAACAAATCATAAGCAGGAGCCTGACCTTTGCCCTTCCTTGAAAGTTGAAGGTGAGCACGTACTCCCCCGACCTCGTCTCACTTTTGCGTACCAGGAAGACCCCGTGGCCCGAAGGTCCCTGTTGTAAGACCAGCTGAGCGGCCTCTGCACGGGACAAGGTACCGTGGAACCATGGGTATTCTCGCAGCACCGTCTCCACCCCACCTTCTCCATCGAAGGGTTCAGGGTGACCTACATCTGGAGAAACATCGATGGAGAATGTGTCACTCATGGAGTGAATGTTCTCGGGTTGAGAGGTAAGAGGGAAAGATGCACCGTCACAAAAATCTGTATTCTACTTAATAGAAATCAAATAACACTGACCACCTACCAAATTACGTAGTACACTCGAGCCAACATATGCCAACACTGATCATGCACTAAAGGATTGACTATGTTTCCCCTTCCTGACGACTGAATTATTGTTGAATAATGAAAACATACAGACAATGCAAAATAATAATATACTTTCTATCCTTAAAACAATAATTAGCTCCAAATTTATTAGACCACTATGTTAAGCATTTTTCAGCGACAGCAACAACGTAAAAGTGCTATTATGTTAAGAGCAGGCAAATCCCGTTCCTTACTTTATTTCCAAAAAGAAATATTTTTTTAATAAGAACAAAAAATATATCCCCTTGAAACATAAAACATAAAAATGCTATCACATTTATGAATGTAACACAAAAATGCTTTTTTTTAAAGATAAATATGATAGCAAAACTTTATACTTATAATACCGCTGCTACTCCACAAAGCCATTGTTGGTCTAAACAAAAAAGAAGTGGCATATAAAAAAGGAATAGCAGGTGTTGGCAGACATGACTCAAAGCAGGGATAATAAAATCAAAGAAGTTTTTAAAAACCGTCCTATAGACACAAGAGATGTTTACAGAGCATCATCATCATCTCACCGAAGCCACTCTCCCCACGTGGCGACGCCCTCAAGTCCCCAGAGCTGATGTTCTGGCCACTAGGTGGCGTGTTGTTCTCCACTTGTATCAGACTCCAGGGGCGCGGCGAGGGGCGGGGTGGCACGGTGGGCGTGGCACTGCCCAGACTGCCCTGGGAGGAGCTACGGTGCTGGGAGGTCAGCTGGGGGGAGTCTGGCAAGGAAGAACAGTCAGTTCAACTCCAAGACTAGAGTTTAGTTTTGGTTTTAGTAAAACTTTTGCGCCACATATAACGCAATTAAGTCGTATAAGTGTCAAAGATCAGAGGTTTTATAATAGAGTAAAAAAAAAGCAAAAAGAAGGACTAAACAGTTTAGCTTTGTATGAGACAGCGATGAGGAGATAGAGATTTGAAATAGAGGAAGAGGAGCACATTGACAGAATAGTGGCCTTAAAATACTAATTATTTGTTTTAATAAGGTTTTACGGTACTCGCAACAGCATAAAGTTATATGAGTGCCAAGGGGTGGACGTCAACAGAGAAGTCCAACGACGAATCAGACTTACTCTGCTCACCTCTCTAGCCTTAATAGCATAAAGTCTGCTTCGACTATCAAAGCACACCAGAAATAACAATTCACAAGAAAGTGACCAACAAACCAAAGAAGTACAGGAAAAATGACGATAGTAAGGATGAGGAAAGAAAAAGCAGCAGTTCTCCCCTAACTTATTCCGGCACAGTAAAAGCATGACATTCATAAATCAGCCCATTTACAATACAATTCTACTGTGCAAAAGAACATGCTAATATCCCCCCTTTGGGAAGGGCCTAAGAACACTTCAGTCGGCAGCATTGCCCTGAGTGGGGGGGGGGGGGGGGGTG